TATATGATGAAAATTATGAGTTTTGTGTTATAATCACGATTGATCTTAAAAAATGCCAATTGTTCTTTGTATTATCATTTTTTTTTTTCGAATTTGCAATATAAGGGGAGATAACTCATATAATACAGGGATGGAAATTAACAAGGGGCGACTAGCCCATGGCCCTTAAATTACAGCTGGACAACTAAATTTTTCCACATTTTTGATTGAACATTTAAGAGGCCATGTCAATAGGCAACGAGCTACGTACTGTACAAACCTTAAATGTGCATAAATTTAGATTCAGTTTAAAAGCCACAGAAAAAATAAGCTTAGCTAAGATAGACGAAAGATACAAAATAGATAATCAAACTCATAAGTCGAAAACAAACTGACTGGTTTTGCTCATTGTTGAAGGCTGTACGGTGACCTATATTTGTAAACTTCTATGTCATTTGGTCTCTTGTGGCGAGTTTTCTCATTGGCAATAATACCACACCTTCTTATTTTTATATGGACAATGCTTTGACAAAAAAAAATACCAAAAGACACACAACAGTATACAAAACACAACATAGATAAACTGTTTACACAGAGATATGTCTCGCCTTTTTGTACTTTTGATAATGCAAATGTTGAAATTAAAATAGCAATACTTTAACATGTAACTTATGCAAATATTCAAAGTCAATGAACCATGACTGAAGGTACAAGGCCAAATAATCTCCATGGAAATGAGATGTGCCAATGCTAATACAACTGCAAACCAAATACCATTGACTTTTCATAAGTCGTTCCCTTTAAACAAACCTAAACACAAACATTAACTTGTAATCTATGTAAAAGTTTCAAAGTCAGTGAACCATAATTAGGGGGTGGGGTTATATAATCTCCATGGAAACAAAACTTGCAAATGCCAATATATTTGCATACTGAATATCATTGACTTAACATTAGTGGTTCATCTTAAACTGACATAATCACAAACTAATACATGTAAACTAAGCAAAAAATTCAAAGTTAATAGACCATGACTGAGGGGTAAGGACCAAATATTCTCCATGGAAATGAGATGTGCTTATGCTTATACAACTGCATACCAATTATCATTGACCTACCACTAACAGTTCCCTTTAAACTGACCTAATCACAAACTAATACATGAAAACTAAGCAAAAGTTTCAAAGTCAATAGACCATGACTAAGGGGGCGGGGCCAAATAATCTCCATGGAAATGAGATATGCCAATCCTTATACAACTGCATACCAAATATCATTGACCTACCACTAGTGGTTCCCCATAAACTGACCTAATCACAAACTAATACATGTAAACTAAGCAAAGTTTCAAAGTCAATAGACCTTGACTGAGGGGGCGGGGCCAAATAATCTCCATGGTAATGAGATGTGCCAATGTTCTTCTTCTTCCATATACTGCCCACATTCAACTTTCTGAATATACTGGCAAATTTAATAAGTTAATAAAACTACATACCAAATACCGGGTATCATTGACCTACCACTAGTGGTTCACCATGAACTAGACCTAATCACAAACTAATACATTGTTGACGCCGCCGCAGCCAATGCCGGAAACAGCATACCTATGTCTCGCTTTTTGACTACGTCAAGGCGAGACAAAACTGAAGACTTAGCAACACAAATCCCACCAAAAACCAGGGATGATCTCAGGAGTTTCAGAAGGGTAACCAGATCCTGCTCTACATGCAAAACCTTTCACGTTACTCCTAGAAACAATATGTTAATAAGTTATACCATTGTAAACGATCTCATATTTTATCTTAAAATTCTATAAATACATCCAGATATATTATAACTGTTATGGTCTTCAGTTGTTTTATATGAAATACCTTGTATTCAGGGTACTCTACAGTGCAGGGTACTTTACAGTGCAGATCAAAGGAAAATATGTGGCAAAATTTTTAACAAACTTTTATAAACATACTCTTTCCAAATAATAAGCAGTATTCAAGACAAAAAAATAAAATAAAAATAAGAGTGAAAGGACCCAGGGCAAACAGTTAGGGATTTTCTGTTTTGAATTTTCCTCAGAGTTCTATATTTTTGTTATTTTACTTTTTTATAAGGGCGCACGGACCCAGGGCGAACAGGTCACTAATTTTAGGGCGAACGGAATTCGTGTGGTGGTGGTGCAATTGTGTATATAAGTGTATAAAGAAGAATTCTATATTAAATAGAAGTGCCATAAATTCAAAATTAAGGGATTCTTTTTACTAGTTTAACTGAAGTGGTTCATCTGATAAAGGTGGAATTTACAGAATATGTAACAGGTAACTGACACTAAGGCAATAATATATTAAAATGATCATTACTTGACAAGCAATTACCGCACGGTAGGTTGGTATGAGAGTCTCAGAGACATTCTGACACTGCAACTAAGACCAGATACACATTTTTATTTTATGCAGTCTCAGCACAGGAATCGGAAATTCTATCAATAAAATTCTGTAAATAATAAAGTCGACTATCAATAGAGCTTCTCTACTGTGGTCTCAGGTTTTAAAATTAGCGATCCTTTTTTCACTTGGTCTAAATCTTACCACGTAAATTCGTTTACTCTCTTATGAAATTGCAATTTAATGTAGGTTTTGTTTGTTTCAAAATAAACTGTTTTTCCTTATAAAATATTTCAATCTTGCAATCAGCATGATCAACCAAATCTTGCAATCAGCCATTCTTCGTGTTGACAGACGACGCGAGTACGAATAGCAATCTATCAGCAAAGTTCTAAATGCACATAAAATAGTCCGATGCGAGTTTTGAATACTTTTGAGAATGACAAGACATTTCATCGTTCCTTATAGAACAAAATATAAATCAATACACGTTTTTATTTCATTGATCTTGCTTGGGATGTTTCGACTTAAATGTTAAGGTAGCAATACACAGTTAGGAAAAAAACTTAAAATTGACACTCATGATTTTTAAACACCCTCTTTCCCTTCCTTTCTAACAAATGAGGCTTTATATTTGTTTTATGCATGTGTATATTTATAGAAAGAAAATCTTCCATAGATTTGATTTCTAATGGTTATAATGGTGAAATATAATCTCTTTTGGGTGTAACCATGGCAACAATATGCATTTCTTTGATACAAAATATTGCAAAAAAAGGGGGTGAACATGTCACAAAAGTCTCCAAAATTTGGTCCAAAGGAAAATTTCAATCAATTACAGTGATACCTTTCCTGAATCCATAGACATATATCTATCAAGAGGTCCAAAAAAAATCATAGGCATTTCTGCTCGTTTTTCCATAAAATTGAATTGAAAAGATCGAGCGCAAAATCTTTGTTGATAAACACTACAACAATTTATGGACCTATGGGCGGTACGGATAGGAAAATACGGACTGTCAAACAGAAAAATGGCCTATAAAACATGCTAAAAACAATCTAAATGTTCATATAAACCCACTAAGAAGGCTATATTATTCTTCAATTATCTAAAAATCAATTTTATTGTACAAAAACTTTCATTTTTAAAAAATTCACCATGGCCATAATGCGAAACTAAACTTCTAACTGTGTATTGCTACCTTAAGGATAAACATTTTTTTTTCCAATTCCATTTTAAATAGATTTCTGTGTTCTGCTAGCTTAAACAAGCAAATTGGCCTGCTAGTTTTGAAAATTGGTTCAGAAATAAATATTTTATGAAGGTTAGCAGTTGACACTGAAATGCAACAAAAAAGTGATTTGGTGAAACATGCCATGTCAAAGTGTAAATTCTCCTTTTTTAGTCAAATTTCTAAAACTATACCTTCTGTGCTTGTCTTTTCTTGTTTAAAAACTTAAATTAACCTTAACAGTAGACAAATTTTACAAGTTAAAGCTATTTTAAGGCTTTAGAATGTCAATTTTGTTGTGTATTAGCATACCAAAGCCTTGGTTAAAATTTAGCAAATACTGAATTAATTTATAACAGCGGGAATAAATTTAGACTTAATTCATGCTAAATTGTGACTTTATACTTGCTAAAATAATAAATTTGATTTAGTCGCATGAAAAAATATAAAGCGTTCCCTTCTGAGGTTTCTACATAATGTGCATTGTTTCTTTTCCAAGGGGTAGCCAATAAAGTATCAATTTATGACCGAACAAAGTCTTTGTGTCAAAATGTCTATATTGGTTGCTAAGGACAATAAACAACAAAACTAACATATATTGTCATACTAAAAGATGTTTCTCCCTCAGAATTGTATCTATAATCTAAAAATCAATAGATTTGTGGTATGATTTGTCTAAAAATAAGGAATTCTGTGCTTTGTCAAATGCCATAAGGTAGCAATACACAGTTAGGAAAAAAACTTAAAATTGACACTCATGATTTTTAAACACCCTCTTTCCCTTCCTTTCTAACAAATGAGGCTTTATATTTGTTTTATGCATGTGTATATTTATAGAAAGAAAATCTTCCATAGATTTGATTTCTAATGGTTATAATGGTGAAATATAATCTCTTTTGGGTGTAACCATGGCAACAATATGCATTTCTTTGATACAAAATATTGCAAAAAAAGGGGGTGAACATGTCACAAAAGTCTCCAAAATTTGGTCCAAAGGAAAATTTCAATCAATTACAGTGATACCTTTCCTGAATCCATAGACATATATCTATCAAGAGGTCCAAAAAAAATCATAGGCATTTCTGCTCGTTTTTCCATAAAATTGAATTGAAAAGATCGAGCGCAAAATCTTTGTTGATAAACACTACAACAATTTATGGACCTATGGGCGGTACGGATAGGAAAATACGGACTGTCAAACAGAAAAATGGCCTATAAAACATGCTAAAAACAATCTAAATGTTCATATAAACCCACTAAGAAGGCTATATTATTCTTCAATTATCTAAAAATCAATTTTATTGTACAAAAACTTTCATTTTTAAAAAATTCACCATGGCCATAATGCGAAACTAAACTTCTAACTGTGTATTGCTACCTAATGTAGTAATCTTCCTTCACCTTTCCGTACGAAAGGAGAGCTACGTAAAGACGCAATGAACTAGAAACAGATGAAGAAGGAATTTCATGTGTTATTTGGTAACGTAACATGCATACAACTTAAATTTTCTCCGTTAAAAGTCACTTGCTATTATTGCTTTTTCAACACTGTCTTTCAGGAAACTCGCATTAAAATAGCGAAATAACGAGGTATAGAAAAAAGGGGGAAGTATCTGTCAACAGATTCCGAGTACGTTCGCCCAGGAACATATATATTGAGATATACTGTTCCCAGGTTCGCCCTATAGTATTACTGTTCGCCCTGATAATGTGATATTTATTTTATTTTGCTATCATGTTGTGAACGTAAATTAATTAAATTAAATATGTGGAAGTTTGTTGAAAATTTCGCCGAATATTTATGTGGTTTTGCTGCTACCAGATAATTATTTTTCATTGATTTGTCACAATACACCTAGAGTGGGGCGCACATATTCGCCGGGGACACAATTTCGCCGTTTTATGATTTTCAGGTGTAGAAACTTCAAAGGATTGCTGAAATGGAAGAAACATGCCGGTAAATTATATTTCTATAATATCCTCGTGTATTGTATTTTCGACCTACTAACATATTTCTCCGAATTTCCCTTTTATAAATTATATGTTTGAACATAGACATGACTAATATTTTGAGAGTCACTAGTAAACTTGGGCATAAAATTATTGTATCTGAAATATATTTCGATCTTAAATTATTTTTTTATTTGAGTTCATTAGATCGATGGCACGTTTGTTGACAAAAACTAGCGTTTTGTGTTTTCGACCTCTCTAAGAAACTGGTCCAAAGTCGGAAATGACATGTCGTACAAATCCGGAATTGGTTAAAATTTGATGCCAATGTCTATATCAAATTATTTAAATTGTTAAGAGGCGATCAAACTTATGACTCAATGAATTAAATGGTTACATATACAACTTTAAGATAAAAAATATTATTTTGATATCTTCATTTGACTAGTTGTACACATTTCACTTAAGGCACTTTGGAAGCAACAGAGACATATATATATGTCTCTGGAAGCAAGTTTGATCTTGTATACAGTCATTTTTTTTTCAATACTTTAGTGAAGGCATTGTGGAGTGAGTATTGTCTGTAATTTCCACTGACAGACTGTTGTTTCTGTTAATTAAAATTAATCTATATTTTATTTTTTTAGTAAAAAGCTGTAAGGATCATGCAGATTTCCGTATTAAAAATAACTTTAAGTATTACAACTAACCACCTGAAGACGGTCGAAAACACAATACGAGACGATAAATATGATTATTTTTTAAACTAAGAAAAAATTTCGGCACTTACCGCAAAGGACCGAAAAACGAACAATGATTTTCGGCCAATTTCCTGAATGAAAAAAAAGATTTCAAAGAAGTATTTCTTAGTAATTCTTTGACTGATTGCCCTAAATTTTAGTTCTTTACACCTTTGAAATGTCTGCTATTCATCTATAATGAAATTGATTTGATAAATATTGTTTAAAGCTGCAGTTATTTGGTTTTAAATAGATGTGTAAATACGGCGAATATGTGTCCCCCTATGACAAAACATCAGGAAATTTCAAACAGCCTTTAATCTAACTTTTCAGATGATTTTTTTCAGAGAAACACGTTTTCAAGCTAAGAATATTTTGCTTTTGATGTTATCTTCATATAGAAATATCAGTATACTTCAAAAACTTAATGGTCTGAACATAAACTGCAGAAAACATGGAAAATTATGGCGAAAATGAGCACCCCACTCTAATCGCTATTTATTCCATTCCGGATAAGTTCTAAAATTACACAACTTTTTCATCCAGTTGAAGCTATCTTGGGCCCTGTTTAAACAATGCACCATGCATGATACGTTTTAATGAGATCTGTTTAAAACATCGTAAATACTTCAAACAAAATATTTTTTGACTATAATTTGAGTTTTGAAAAAGTGGATCATAATCTATCAAAATTTCGTATTGATCGCTTTCTAAATTTTTCCCTCCCTCAGCTCGTTACTGATGACCTTTGTTGTTTACCTGTTCAAGGCCTGTTGACCCAAACAGGAATTTGTCTAAATGACTGTTTTTCCGGATTGGACTAAATAGCGATAAGGTGTATTGTGTAAAGGGACACTTCCTATATATAAGGTGATAGGACGTGCCGCTGGAATAGGCCATATTCTCTAGCTTGAAAATATGTGAATACGTGGTGAAAATTATCAGAAATATATATTATGAGGTCAACAAATAAAAAAAAATAAATGAAGATGTGGTATGATTGCCAATGAGACAACAGTTAACAACTGTAGGTCACCGTACGGCCTTCACAAATAAGTAAAACCCATACAGCAAGTTCCCATTACTTGTTATAAATTTGTATGAAAAGCCCTGTAATTTTTTCACAGCCAAATGTTTTGCCGTAAGTAAATATTACATAAGGAATCTGAAGGTGTTATTCCACTTTTCCAACACACTACAAGAAATTCAACCAATATGGGAAAAGGTTACATTTTTACCTAATCAATATATGAAAAGGTATACATTTTCAAAATCTAAATTAATTATATGAAAAGGGTGGGGTAACAGAACCCCAGCTACACCCCTATCATATTAAGTATTGATGAACTCGCCCCATCCCCCCAAAAAAAATCAAATGGTCGTCCCCTAAATGAACATAATGTCACATCATTGGTTGAATTTCCATTATTTAGGAAATATATAACCAATCAAGAGGTCTTGGTGTACGCTTTTGAGAATATTACCAAAAATGCATTAGATTCTGAAACAGGGAATTGGGAGTATTACATTGTATGTTGTGATCCCAGCTGATATCAGAAACATATTACATGAATATTATTTTGGCAAGTGAGGTCTTTTTAAAAAAAGTTGAAAAATTTTACAAAACATAAAATAAAAAAAAATAAAATGCAATTTTGTATCAATATGTAGCTATATAGTGATGATTTATATTTTGATTGAATTGAAAGATGCAAAATTGGAATAAAAATGTTTTTATAAGTATTATGATATACCATACTCTTTAAAAGTCAATTTCAAGAAGGATTTGACAACTTGTAGATTTTTCTTACAAGTGAAATAAATACACGGGAAACTAAACCTACATGAGTTTATCTACATGTACCTTTTTATTGGTGTACACACCACAATTTTTTTATGAGATCCCTCAAACACATCGATACCACCAGATTTTTGACGATATATGTTTGAAGGTAAATCCAGAAAATCCCTTCTGACATTTTAAATTAATTGAGTGTTATTTTACATTTTGCATTAAATTTGCCTTCAATCAAGTACATGGCACAACCATTTAGGAAACTGTTGGAAAACAGCACAGCAAAAAAAATAAAATTATAAAGCCTTACAGTAGCAGATTAACAAGACTGCATTGTATTGAAGGGATTTTAGATGACTCAAATACTGCAATCTACCCCTGTCTATCAGTGTGTCCTGTTCGTCTGTCCCATGAAATTTTGGAAGTATAAATAGTCAGTGGCCTTTGGCTGTTTTTTGCTCTTTGGTCGTGTTGTTGTCTCTTTGACAACTTCCCCATGTCCATTCTCAATTCTCAATTCTATTTGTCTGTTTGTTCCAAAAACATCAAAAGAAAACTTGGAAACTTCACAGAAAGCTTGCATGCTTGTAAGGATTATTTGTCATCATATTCTGTTGACCATACTTATTAACAGTCAGTATAAATAAATAAAATATTGTTTAAATTAAACTTGGGCCAAAAATACTATTGTTTCCTGCCTCCATATCTACCCTTACACATGATGTTGTGGATATTTTGGTGAGACCGGGTTCTTTTCACCTGACCTAGACCTCCTTTCATGGATACATTTTGTAAGTGATCAAAGTTAAAATTACTTGATTTTTAGGTCCGTTTCTCAAATACCGTAAGCAAAAGTTCAACTATGAATAGTGTATGGAATGATTGTAAAGTGTACATGTTAGTCGGGCAGGTTTCATCTGACCTTAACCTCATTTCGATGGTTCATTGTTCAATGTTAAGTTTTTCTGTTTTGGTCAGTTTTTATGCCCCACTTAGGGGCATTATGTTTTTCGGTCTGTGCGTCTGTTTGTCCGTCCGTTTGTCCGTCTGTCCCGCTTCAGGTTAAAGTTTTTGGTCAACTCGAGGTAGTTTTTGATGAAGTTGAAGTCCAATCAACTTGAAACTTAGTACACATGTTCCCTATGATATGATCTTTCTAATTTTAATGCCAAATTAGAGTTTTTACCCCAATTTCACGGTCCACTGAACATATGAAATGATAGTGCGTGTGGGGCATCCGTGTATTATGGACACATTCTTGTTCAATAAGCAATAGGCCAATTTTATTTGGTATATGGGATGATTATAAGGTGTACATGTCTGTCTGGCAGGTATCATCTGTGGCTCTGCCTTTGACCTCATTTCCATTGTTCATTGGCCAGTATTAAGTTTCTGTAGTTTGGTCCTTTTCTCAGATTCTATAAGTAATAAGTTAACTATATTTGGTGTATGGAATGATTGTAAGATGTACATATCTTTCTGGCAGGGTTCATCTAACCTTCACCTCATTATCATGTTATGATTGCCAATGAAACAACTATCCACCAAAGTTCAAATGAAGAGGATGTAAGCAATTATCATGATTATAGGCAACCGTACGGCCTTCGTCAATGAGAAAAATCCAAACTGTATAGTCCGCGGTGAACGGTCCAGACATGAAAAATATGAAACAATTCAATTGAGCAAACTAACGGCCTAATTTGTAACAAAACAATCAAGTACTAAAATCAAATCTGACAGACTTGAACCAACGACAACCACTGAACTACATGTTCATGACTTAGGACAGGCACATAAAGAATGTGGCAGGGTCTGAACTTGACCTTATTGTCGTAAATAATTGATAATGTTAAGTTTATGTGATACTTGTAGTAAAAACTTTATCTTTAAGGCTTTCAATATTAAGTCAATCATGGTCAGTAGAGCAGACAAGACATGAACGTGTGCACTCAGACTCTCAAATAGTCTATGTAAAATATAAAAACATCATTTTACCTTCTCTTTTTTTACTGCCAGATAAAGCTTTTTTACTGCCAGATAAAGCAGGAATTAAGTATATTAATTGTCCATAGGAAACACTGTACCTGGAATGAAATTCACACTCTTCAAACAATTTTTCCTTGTAGATGTTGCAGAAAATACAAATGATGCCAAAGAAGAAAAGAGAAAAGGAACTTGGACTGTACCATTTTCTTTGCAGCTCCTAAGGTGAAGTATTGTGCAATAAAACATTTATATAAATGTTTATATAAAAATAAGAAGATGTGGTATGATTGTAAATGAAAAAACTCCCTCAACCAAAGACCAAAATTAACAACTATAGGTAACCGTACTGCCTTCAACAATGAGCTATATAAGGCCTTGAAATGACCAATGTGAAACAATTCTAATGAGAAACTTACAGCCTGATAAATCTACAAAACATTAAACGAAAAACTAATATGATATACAGCAACAAACCACTGAATTACAAGCTCCTGATTAGGGACAGGCACATGGAGTATGTAAAAACATTAAAAATGTTTGCTGGCACCAAACCCTCCTCCTAACTAGGACAGTGGTGTAACAGTACAACTTACAAACTATAAAAATCATTTGAAAAGGGCTGAATTCTTTAGACCAATACAAAGCACAGAAAAAAATCCTAACAAAAACACACAAAGTACAGATCAGAGAGTACTAACAGTTACCGAAAGCAAGTTCAATTGGTCAATATTTTATCCATGTCCTAACACAATCTGCTGAATTTCTCTTAATAGTTAACCTAGACCTACAAATGTATGGTTATAGCCATCACTTGATGTCATCTGTTGTTGGAAATTAAACAAATAATGACTTCTCTGAAACCAACAGATCAATTTCAACCAAATTTGTGCTGAATGATCCTTAGTGTCTTGTACAAGTTTGTGTTCTTTAATTTGAACAATGAGCACAGAAAAATGGCTAACATAATGACAGGAAACAAAGTTAAAATGCAAGTAATTGTCAAATATATTGAAAACCACAATTGATTAGGAAAAACTTGTATGTCATTTCCATGCAATAATTTGAGAACTGTTCAACCAATGTTTTTTTTTTAATTCTTGTATGTTCTGACTGATACCAAAGGTCAAGTTCTATAAAGAAGATTTTCACTTTTGTCGTTCTAGAGTTATTTCCTTTCCTTGCTTTTACAATGACACTAATAAATGTAATAAAACCTTGTTTGATGTCATTTTTACAGCCTACTGTTTTTAATAGCTCACCTTGACCAAAGGGTCAAGTGAGCTTTTCTCATCACTTGGCGTCCGTTGTTGTAACTTTTACAAAAATCTTCTCCTGTGAAACTACTAAACCAAATGTAACCAAACTTGGCCACAATCATCATTGAGGTATCTAGTTTAAAAAATGTGTCTGATGACCCCACCTGCCAACCAAGATGGCAGACATTGCTAAAAATAGAACATAGGGCCGTTAAATGCAAGTTTTGTCTATTATTTTGAAAACTGTTATGTAAAGAGAAAATCTGACTATGACGTCAATATTCAAGATGTTGAGCTCTAACATTTGTTCATTGACGTCAAAACTGTCAGGCGACTTCTTGTAGGAGTTATTGCCCTTAAATGACAAATTTTACCATTTATTTTCATTTTTGCCTTTTATCTTGAGAGCTATAATAGATGGAGAGAAACTTCTAAGTTGCAAAAATGATCAACAAGACCAGATCTACAAATAAATATGCATGATCGAAATTGTCAGGCAACTCCTAATTATTTAAATTAGCCACAGAGTTTTTTGTATGGTCTAGTTTTAATTGTACTTTTATTGTAGATCTAGGAGGTGAATTTCCTTCTGTTGAGGAGTCGGAAATTTAGACTGTCCTGAAGATATTAAATGAAGGTAAACATAACTTTAAAGTAATGTTTATATTGGTAATACCTCAAGTATGCATCAAGGATGTATATGGTTAGATGGTAATTACTGTATGTGAAACAATAAAATGTGTTCAAAGTGGGCAGTACATGTAACATACCATCAAAATTAGCATAGCCAAAAATGCAATCGCTTCTTAAGTTTAAGTTACATAGATCAAAGGCCCATGTGATCAGCATCATTTGTTGTTGATGGGTTTTATAGTATGTTGTCATAAACTTTAAAAAAAAATCTTAAATCATTTATACCGTTCCCAAGTTATGGTACTTGATTGTTAGAAAATAATTGTAATTTTTGTTTTCTATAAACAAATTCCTAAAGCAGAGATGCAGATAAATTTTTTTCCCTGTCAGACATAGGGGCCTGCAAGGTAGACAGTTTTGACAGACCTATCAACTGTTTGCCAGACCTACATTTTTTACCATTTTTTCTTCTTTTTTTTATCAGCTTTTTATACAGTTAAAACAAACAAGATAGGATGTCTTCATAGTGACTGCTGCTTCAGTGGATATCTTCATACTTGCCCAAGTTTTTAGGAGATTATAAACATTAATTTTTCTAACATGTATGATGTATATACTACATAATACATTACAACTAATTTAAATCATTCTTCAAAAACATATTTTGAAATTATTAAAGTAGCTATTTTGTTTGTTCATTCTGCTCAAATTCAAAGTTGGATTCATAACATTCTCAGTTGCAACGTAGGTTAACCAAGGACGACCCTCCTTCCATTTGGGGTTGAACTACAGCTTGGGTCGTTTTCCTTTTCATTAGCTACCAGCTTCACTTTTGTGTTTTTGCTTGCATTACTATTTTTATCAATTAAAACAAGATTAGATTGTTTTTTACCAGGTTTAGACCCCTCCTTAAATTTAATTGGCCATTCAGCCATGCTATAAGAAACATATTAAATATTTTTACCGGAGAATAAATTTAAAAAATTCAGATATGAACTGGTTCCCCAGATTAAGTGAAAGAGACGGGAAGTATTTGTGTAAAAAAGCATTGATAAATGCAAATAATTAATGTTTTCAAATCAAAAAATTATCAATATATAGTACAGATATGTTTAAGGATGTACTTAGGTGAAGTTTAGTAATTTGTGTCAGATGTTCGGACTCCTTCGTTTTTTTCCTACGATACAGGGTAAAATATTTTGCCCCATAACACCCTCTTTTTTTTTAAATAAGACTACAATAGCTCATAAAAGGTCATTTATCAAAATTAAACCAGATTATAGATTTCTTTTCTTTCGATTTGAGACCCAAATAATACCAATGGCAATGCTAATATAAGGTAAAAGTCCGAGTCAGCCTTTTCCCGCCAATTTTTAAATCTCAAATATGTCGAAAAGGAGCTCCATAACTTATCAATATTTTTAGCTTATTTTGTTCCTTAACTAATGCTATTTCGACTTCAGATATCAATTTTAAATTCTAGATTTTTTTAATTTCACCTCAGTACATCCTTAAATGCATCCCTTTAAAATTATTTGCCTGTTATTATAATATATTAATATTAAATCTAATAATTTTCAGATCCAATAATTTTCAATAAATCAAGGTTTTCTTAAATAAAAAACCAAGCCAAATGTTTTGAAAGTGGTGTTCAAAACTAAACAAACAATCAATCAATCCATACTGCAGCCATTTACCGATTTGATGACACATTTTTTACAATTTTCAGAAACTACAAGGCTAATTTGAACCAATTTTTGCATGTCTGAATTAATTCTTTTGCTCAATTAACCATGACTGATTTTCAAAATGATCATCATGTAAAAATAAAGAGATGTGATAAGATTGCCAATGATAACTATCTGTATGAACAATGTTAGTTCACTGGTTTGCTTTCAACAATAAGCACAAAGGAATACCATATATATTGTAGTAAGCTATTAATAAAGGCCCCCTCCTTATAAAATGTTAAACAATTAAAAAGTGAAAAACAGCGTCCTGATTTTTGCTCAAATAAACGTTTGCCTATGGAGATATCCTAAGTTAATCCCATATAGGAGTCAATAAAATCTATAGCTGATATAAAAAGTCCCTAAACTTTGTTTTAATTTGTATTGATGTTAATCATATAAAAGTTTGTACATTATTGAAGTTACTGTTAATTTTGTGTATTTCAGATTATTATTGAAAAAAAGAGCACCTTGAAGTACTAGAAGAATTTGAAAACAAACTAACTTGGTGAAATAGTCCTACTGGATATGACAGAACACCAAGAAAAATGGTGAAAAATTACACAACTTATCACAAGAAGATAAAAGCTTTTTGCAATTTTCGGTGGTTCTGAGATCAGTTACAGTCAAAGGAAAAAAAATACTGAACATGTATTAACGATTCATCGATCTTATGATGTATCTTGATTGATATCTTAAAACATATTGACTGTAAACTAGTTACAAATTCACCAATTATATCTGTTGTTCACAAAATTTGTTATTGTTGTTAGTTGGAAATATCTGTTGAATGTTTTGAAATTAAAATGTGTAAATTTAAATGATGTTCATTGAAGTCTTTAAATGATACAAAAGGAAGGATACATGGAATAATTGCCATTGAGACAACTACTTTTCCTGCATAGGAGGGCAGTGATGTAAACAACTACAGTTCACCTTAAGCCTTCAACAATGTGCAAAATCCATAAGTTAAAGACAGTTATAAAAGGTCCCAAGATAATGGTACTTATACTTATACATCCTTGGCATTCAAATTTTTGGTTTGAGTGTTTCTGATGAAGGTAAATTAAAAAAATGCACAGCAAAACTTAATTTATAAAATGTTTTTTTTTCAATTTCAAAAGAGAATACTAATGGCCAAATTTAAGCAAATACCAAAAAAGAAAATCGATTATGGCAGACAGCAACCAAACACAACCACTGGACTTTATGATCCTGTTTTGGAGTGCTCAAACTGCACCATAACCTGGGACTCATAAACATCTTATATAATACTGAAAGACAGAAAAGTGTAAAGTGTCTTTCTTTCAAATTATCTGCTCTTTTTTTATGTTTAAAATGTACATTGTAAAACGCATACAAGAAGTTTACTGCTATTGAGACAAAGGCAAAAATCATAGAGTTACAGAACATATTGATTACAGACATAATAACAATAAACAAAAACAACACTTACCACTACTAAATGATCAGGAACTTTCAGGAATTGATTCCAGCTACTATCCAGGTTATGTTAAACAAATTTCCACCTCCCAACTGTTCTGTTCAGTGAAGAGTTTTTACCATTGAAATGAAATGTGAATACATTCCAATCTTTTGGCAGCCATGAATATTCCCTTCACATGGCGGCATTTATACATTTTCACATAGGTACCCAGGTAGCTATATGCTGGTATTTGTACAGTAATGTTGTTTTTCTTAGACAATGAACAGAGAACCAGGTCATGGGTACCTTTATCCGGTGGTGATGATACACAGTGAAAATGAAACATTTTTTTCTTTCTTTTTATTAAATTTTGAAGAAAAAAAGAAGAAAAAATTTAGCATTTAAAATTTTTTTCTGAATTTTGAAAAAAAATATTTTTTTTGTAAATTTTTCATTTTTTTTTTTTTTTTTGAAATTTTGAAGAAAAAAAATTAATTATAAGCATTTTTTTTTTTTTTTTTTTTTGAAATTTTGAAAAATTTGATTTTTTTAGTAATTTTGCATTTAATTTTTTTTTTTTTTATTTACAAATTATTTTTTTTAGTCCAACTAGGAGGGTTAGCCATGCACGCATGGCTAAGGGTTAGTTGAACAATAATTATTATATTTTATAAAATTCAACTAAGGGGGTTAGCCATGCATGCATGGCTAAGGGTTAGTTGAACAATAATGATATATTTTATAAAGTCCAACTAAGGGGGTTAGCCATGCGTGCATGGCTAAGGGTTAGTTGAACAATAATGATATATTTTATAAAGTCCAACTAAGGGGGTTAGCCATGCACGCATGGCTAAGGGTTAGTTGAACAGTAATAATATATTTTATTAAGTCCAACTAAGGGTTAGCCATACTCAGGTTAGATCAAGGCATCAATTACAGACTTTACCATATATTTGCCTGACAATTTGAAGATAATCATATTTGTAAATAACTTCATAAAATTCATCCCTTTTTTTAATTTTATTTTATAACTAAGGCTTAGAACAACATACACCAAATCATTTCATATTCCATAATATATAATTATTCCAGATTCAATTAATTCCTTGTTTAAATGTGAAAGTCAGTTTTCCAAGTTAATTTACACATGCAGGTAATAATTGTACCTTATAGTAATGTTTATATATGTTCTCTATAACTATGTAACTGAAGTTTTATAAGAAATAAAGTATTCATATTTGATATTAACAGTGGTATTCCATATAATCCTTACATAATTTTTGTTCGTTTGATAATTTTACAATAGTTACGAAAAAATTAAACGTAGGATATACATTTATGAAATAACACAAAAAAAACTAAAATATCTTGAGGTCACCATGACTGTTATACATCTTTATCAGAGAAAACTCTGCTTAAACTTATGCCTAAATAAACCAGTAATATATCTGTACTGATTGTTGGTTTATTGCTATTTACACAGATGTTTTAATTCCCTTTAGCATGGGTTCCAAGCTTGGTGCTCAAATGTTTACTTTTATTATATCAGTGCATTGTCTGCCAGTATTAATTTCTGATATATGGCTTATACTACCGTAATGGGCCTTGAAAAGTCTGCACTGGTATATTGTCTGCACCCCCTTTTTGCCACCAGGAATTCAGGAAAAAACTTTTTTTCACTTGTTGAAAACGTCTATGAGAACTCTGGTAATTTCAAAGCGTGTGTGATTGTTTGCGTAGTGCCATTTTTCTATCATCAATTAGAAGTTGAAAATGCTTGTAAATGATTTTAGAACACTTTATGATTGTTGAAATAATCACAAATCACAAGAAAAACAATTGTAAAATTTGTATTTTTCATTAACCAGATATCGGAATAGAACATGTAAATCCCAAACAAATATGGTGAGAGTGTGCAAAAAAATTCCTACTTAATAGATATCACTAAAGAATAACAACTTTGAAACTAAAACAGTTCTGTTCTTAGGTGAAATACTGTCAGATATATACATCACATTAATGTTTGACAGACCTTTAACTAAAATTAAACACATGCAGCAGTATGAAACAACAAAACAGAACAAATAACCGATTACATTTTGTAGTTTATACATCGTTTTGTTTGGCTGGTTCCAGGCTATCTTCTTCACTTTTTTAGTAGCGTTATCAACAAGCGGATTCCAGTTTAAGTTATGCAATGCTATGAAATAAGAAATTTGTAAAGAAGCATTTGTTTTTGATAAGTATCAATTTTAAATAAAAATTGCATATTAATAGGGATAAAGTAAATTAATAGTTTTGAAAAGAAATTAAACAACGTTAGTAAGCGCGCTCACATACCCCACGTCCCCACATTGTCACTGGAGAAATAAAATAACTGTAAGAAAAAAAAATTGTATAAGAAAAAAAAATTGAATCATAATTTCCTGTCGATATGCACATCTACCTAGTATGTCCTAATTATCTACAAAGTTTCATGAAATTCTGTTGTGTGGATTCAGAGGAGTTGCGATGACAAACTGTTGCAGAGGTATATTGAAGCAAATAAGTTAAAAGGGGTGTAACTCCTAGAAACAAAATTGAATCGTAATTATCTGTCGATATGCACATCTATGTAGTATGTCCTTATTATCTGAAAAGGTTTCATGAAATTCTATTGTGTGGTTTGAGAGGAGTTGCGATGACAAAAGGTTGCAGTAGTATATTGGGCAAATAAGTTCAAAGGGGCGTAACTCCTGGGAAAAAAATTGAATCGTAATTTCCTGTCTATATGCACATCTACGTAGTATGTCCTTATTATCTACAAAGTTTCATGAAATTTTGTTGTGTGGTTTCAGAGGAGTTGAGATGACAAACTGTTGCAGTAGTACATTAAAGTAAATAAGTTCAAAGGGGCGCAACTCCTAGAAAAAAAAATAGATCGTAATTTCCTGTCGATATGCACAACTACATAGTATGTCCTTATTATCTAAAAAGGTTTCGTGAAATTCTGTTGTGTGGTTTGAGAGGAGTTGCGATGACAAGAAACAGGACTGACGGATGGACAGACGGACGGATGGACAGACAGACGGACGGACGGGTCAAAAACATTGTACCCTCGGCAACTCATTGCGTGGGGTATAATAAGGGTGCCCTCTACAATTTCAATCAAAGTGCTTGTAAGCACTGAATGGTAAAGATTGCTTTAATTTATCAGTGGGAAGTAAAATTGAATATTGCATTGTATAAAGCATTGGTTGTAGTTGATTCAATTACCACTCTAGACAGAGAAAGAAAGCTCCAATTTTCAAAGACGACTTTAAAAATGACATCATTTATATTTTTAGAACAGATATTAGATTCCTGCACCTTGCAAGAGTTATGTTCTTGACAAATGTAACATCATTTTGTGACTTGAAGCTCGGAACATATATTTCATTGATAAATTTCTGGAAATGTTCATGGATAGAATGTATAGAATGTTATGATCAATGCACTATATTTTATGTATCAAAAAGGTAGTGATCAGCTTTGGAAGATTGAGATATCAAGTCAGTAACATAGGGTTCTGATTGCATTTCATGCAATCTTTACCCAAAAACAAACATGGCAGGTGTAAACAAACATTGCGAAATCAAGTTTTTCTACTATATCTTGATTATAGTACTCTATAATCTGCACCCCTGTCTGCCAATCTTGATCGAAAAAAAGAATGCAGACGACTGAATTCAGTAATTTACAACAAGTTTGTTTAAAATTGGTTTTAAAATTCTTACAATAACTATCATCAGGTAAAAATTTCTACAGATTAATGTATAAATAAACTTTTTTGATTTACATCATAAATGAAACATACATTAATAACAATCTAACAAACTAATTTATCCTTTACATAATTTGTATAAGTGCAGTAACCTAAATCTGGATCAGTATGGACAGTTGGTTACATGAATTATTCAAAGCAGAGCGGAAAGTAGGCCGGCATCTAAAGTTCATTTATATTAGAAAAAATATGGTCCTTTAAAATACTCATTTCAAAGCTAACCCCTAGTGACGCAGAGGGGATTTTTAGAAGAACAGCAAGTTTATTTCTATTAAGAAATGTAGGTCCTATAAAATACTCATAACTACTATAAAGATTTATAGCACTAAATGCATTCTCAAATACACAAAATAAATAGCACACAAAAATGTTATTTATAGCATAAAAATATTTCAAAAACTATTGAATTTTGAAAAATTGATGTCAAGTAAATATTATCTCAATTCTTTTTACATACTAGCATCATGGAAAAAAAACATTGCCAGTTGTCAGATACAACTATAAGTATTAAATCTCTTACCATAAAATCCTTTCCTGATTTCTCAATTTCAAAGCTCATTGATCCACCAAACAGTTCTGCATGTTGTGTTGAA